ATATTCGATAGTATACATCTTACGATATACTATATATACATCTTAATATAATAAGATGTATATTTAGTATATATATATATATATCTTAAGCCATATTCGATAGTATATAAATATATATATCGAATATAGCTTATATATATACTATACTATATATACATCTTAATATAATAAGATGTATATTTAGTATATATATATATATATCTTAAGCCATATTCGATAGTATATAAATATATATATCGAATATAGCTTATATATATACTATACTATATATACATCTTAAGATATATATAAAATATACATATATACTATATATATACTATACTCTCTCTCTCTCTATATATATATATACATCTTACTATATACATAGTATATAAGCCATATATATATATATATATATATATATATATATATATATATCTTAAGATGTATATGTAATATATAAATCGAATATTAATGTATAAATCTTAAGATGTATATATAGTAAATCGAATATAGCTTATATATCTTAAGATGTATATATAGTATAGTATAGTATATATATTATAACGCATTGCTTTGAATATCTCTTTACAATATTTTTGTCTTTAAATTTGAATTAAAAAATTTAGGTNGATATTTTTATTACCTTTTTTTTCTCTAACTTGTATAAAAATAATTTAAAAAATAGAAAGTTTCCGTTGGGCCCACTTTGGCCCGCTTAGGACCGTTTGGGCCCGCTTAGGCCCGGGACCGGCCCACTTAACACGGGACCGCTAGTTTGTGGTCCCGGTCCCGGACCGGTTCCAACGAGAAGCCCGCGAAGCCCGAGACCGCTTAGGACCGGACCACTTAGGACCGGGCATTATGCAGCTTGGAACCTCGTAAACATAACTGATCACATACTAAAAACTACATCATGCAAAAATCACACTTAGTATTATGTTTTGTATAACTGCAGAAATACAGCGGAGAATGCATACGCAAGAGATAGCGAGTTGTTAAGTTGATGTGAGCTATACTCTTGTCCTTATTTTTCTGTTTTTCTCTTTACAAGATTCCATGCTGTTGCTTTCTGTACAATGTCAAGAATGATGGTGTATTTGGACAACATATGCTTTGAAGCGTAATCTATACTTTCTGTATATCCTAACTATAGCAAAATTGGCAGAGGCAGGACTTGTAATCTTGCATCAATTATCTACATTTACCTTGACCAGTGAAAAGCTACTGCATTTATTGGAGATTGTCATTGTAGCCACTCTTGAAACAGCATAACCAACTCTTGCTTTTCTTCTTCTTATTTTCTGCACTCTTATCCATCAAATTGTTGGTGCCAGAAGAATTAGCAATCTCTTCGCTCGTAGATTGATCCTTGTCAGAGAGATTTGGAGTTATCGTTTGCGGAGTATATGCAGCAGGCTGCTTCCCCTCAGAAAGATTTGGCGTTATCGTCTGCTGAATATATGCATCGCCAAGGATGTTTGCAAGGATATCTGATATTTGCGCAAATTCTGGTCGATCTGCTGGATCCTCCGACCAGCAGGAGCTAATGAGAGGTACAATGTCCTTAGGAATGTTATCCGTGCTAGGCCTTAAATTCTGGAATTTTACCAAAGAAATGGAAATTATATTCTACCTCAGTAAAAACAACAATAATTATGCCTCAGTGCCAAGCAAGCATCTATATAACTCCAACGTTTAAATCAATACTAGCATATAGTCAAACTTCAACACAATAGAAAATGAATATAACTGTAATATTCTAAGGTACAGAACCATACTTTAGCTGTAGCATTCGCTGCCATTATGTCGGTTTTTCCCTTGAATGGAGTGTCGTTGGTGAGTAGCTCCCATAGAACCATCGAGAAACTGTAGACATCTACTTTATGATTGTAGTGTTTCTTCTTCACCCCATAATCAGCTGGTTCTGTGTACAATAACTGGCATCGGCAAAAGGTAAGCATATAATATGATTTTAAGCAGGACGTAAAAATTTTAGCCCAATGTAAAATATACCTCAGGAGCCATCCAGCGGTATGTACCAGCTTCTGCGGTCATTTCAGTTTCTGCCACCACCCTAGCTAACCCAAAGTCAGCTAGTTTAATTCTTGTCTTGTCTTCTGTGAGGAGTAGATTACCTACAAATGTACACACGCGGCCATGAATGAGACAGATTTTGAGAATGAAAAAGTTTAATGTGCTACTGCCTACTTACTTCAGTCACGTAAACATAAAAATTGAAGCGAAATAGAGAACTGAGAGATAAGGCGGAATACTTGGCTTCAGATCACGGTGAATGATGCCAATTGCATGCAAATACTCCATTGCCCGAGAAATTCCCAATGCAAAACTTAGAGAAAGGTTGAAATCCGGACAATGTGGTCGGATGCTCCACAGGTACTTCTGAAGTGTGTCACCTTTCATTAACTCTGTGACTAATATCAACGCTGGTTCCGTGGAGGCACCAATAAACTGTAAGGATTAAATGACATAAGCATAACCGGTAAAAAGAAAATCATATTGAACAGTTCTTTATATTTGATATGATTACATACAACACATGGCTATGGATTTTATTGTCTTTCCTTAGTTAAACATCAAAGTTAACAATGTCCTTCTTGATTTAGACTCTTCGATTAAGTAAACACGTGCAGTGACTCCAGCTAAACTAAGGTAAACACATGGAGTAATGCCACCTAAACGATGGTAAACTACGTGAATGAAATTTATCTTGTGGCACATTTCTTGTTAACAGCACATACCTTCACAATGCTGTCATGCTTCACTCTAGATAGCATCGTAATTTCCCTCTCAAATTTCACCTTCCTCTCAGGACTTACATTTGAGGATTTCTCTGGCTGTATAACTTTTATCGCAACAGGCAGGGATTTATATCTGGAACATGTAATATAAAAATTTGCTTCAGAATAACATGACTACTAATAATTTGAACTTTGACACAAAAGACCTTTGCAAGAGTATATATAGTAACATCAAGACTTCCTAAAATCTGCGGTCAACCTATTGTTGTAACCAAAGTGCTGCGTTCACGAATAGAATGAGAGGTATCTAAAGCATGCACATATGTAAGGGATATTAAAAATTTTCCTCAGATGCACCCTCTCCTTTCTTTGTCTGATGAAGTATTTATTTTCTGATGCAAGGAGAAAAGAAAAATCAAAAAGAGAGGTAAGTGAAGTATTGCATTCTCGGATATTCATAAATTAGCAGAACTATCAGCATAGCTTCATTTATGTCATCCTGTTAGTACTGAAATCCTATCACATTACCAATTAGCAAGTCAGTGAGAGAAGTAGCAGATTTTAAATGCTTTGGGTAAAAGAACAGATATTATCGACAAATTCTGCGAAACAGTTGAAAGAGACCTCAGTATGCATAATAAGTTCCATCTTTTCCAGGTTTCTAGCCAAAGTTGAATCTCTTTTAACAATACATTGACCCCCCCCCCCCC